ATATATTTTGACACCCCTAAAACGTGCAGTTCGGTAGACTGTTAACGTCCAAGTTTTTGCGGCATCTGATAAATTTCGCACTGATGTATGATGAACACAAAGAGAAACCTCCCTTCTTATTATAAGAAGCGACAAACTCATCATCGACGCTCTTTCCAAAATCTTATTAGGTATATTTTTCCTCTTCATTGACTGATTATGATCGATTTTATACACCCACCTTCATAAGTATTTGGTTTAATTTAAAAAATACATTTATTATTAAGCTTCTATCAGACAATATAAAAATAAATGTTTTCTAATATACATACAAGTTTTAACAAAACCTTAATGTACATGAAAATCCAGCTAACCAAATATTCAATTAATAATTAAAATAATTTGGTTCTGAAATAATCTTGATTATGCATATCTTAACCTTAAAGCTATCTAACCCCACTCTGATTAAACTGTACAATTGTCATGAATTGTAAGAAATATGTATATAAGTGGTTAATTACTTATAACGTTGAAATAATATTCTATCTATTAATATAACCTTCTAAGTCCCTTTATAAAATATTAATTTATAATCTGAATAAAATTTTAGTCATATTTTATACAATACAAACAAATAATATACATATTCATGAAAATTTGTCAAACTATCAAAGTAGACTAACTTCTTACTATTCATCAAAATTACAATACTTCACCTAATACCTTTCATGTGTATCGACAAAAAAAAACTACTATAGATACAGAAAATACAAAAACATCAATCTTAATCAAATCTTTCAAAAACTTTTATTTCTATAATAAAAGCAGCTATCAAGTACGCCAAGTAAAACGCGCGGAATTTTTCCCATCAAGTTTTATCTTTCTGCTTTTCTAATTTTATGGAGTTTGCCGGTCGCTCACTTGATAATAGAAGTTGACATATATGTGTTGAAGAACGCGGCTAGTCGGTGAAAAAGTGTAAAATACCTATCGTGCCACCGGGAGTAGCGCTTGATTGAGTTATAAGCTATAATGGCAATTCCATCTTGTTTTTGCACTGTTTTTCACTTGAATGCCATATGGTGAGGCTCTACTCATATTTAATATACATTAGGCTTCGATCTTTGATTTCAGCGTTCTTACTGCTGCTAGGGGAATGCGTGACTTGTTTATTTTGATTTGTCACCTTTGATATATGAATCCCTTTTTGTTATTATCTGTAATATGTTATTATGGACGACTGAGGAACTTGATTACATTGCTCTGGAGACTTCGTTTCTATCTAAAGTTTATAAGCGAAGAAATGTGTAGTATGCGAATGTAATGAGTTAATTTTAGTTAAGATTGTGAATGAGGGATGGCATAAAGTAGTCGGATTAATTTGAGAGAAAAAGTATTATTATACTATAATTTATGTGAAATTTAAAAACCAAACCAACATTAGACTTTTAGATCTTTATTGACATAAATATTAGGCAATAAATAGGAAGTATAGAAAAAACTCATCCGTTTTGTCTTGTCATAATAATATTTCTTAATTTAATAAATGAATATTTAGTCTTATTAAAACCCGCATAAAAGTTCACATGAATACAACCACGAGTTAATTAATTTTGGAAACATGTTTTCTGAGACGAGACGGCTAGTCGCCAGATTGTAACAGGACTTAAAAATGAATCTTAAAGTATGGAAATAAGATCCATATTTGTTTAATTGGATAATATTTTAAAATATCTGTAATCCTTTCTTCGAGAACATCCATGTAGCCAATTTTTATAAAGTTTTATTCAATTAACCTGGCCAGTAATTGTTCTTTTAACATTGCTTGTGATCGCATTTAAAATAGATTAAATTTATAAGTGATAAATTCTACTACAACCGAACTGATAGAAGTCCTTTCAAAAGCATAAGACTATACGATTATTAATAGTTGATTCGTTTTGAATTGCAATGTATGGATTTTGCTTGTTATTCTACTTTATATGATAAATCTCCGATATGTAATTACAAAGCCGAGTAGCCGCGTTGTAAAGGGCTTCGGGTGAAGCTTAATTAAGGGAATGAATGACGAGCTAATGCAAGTCAGCACCTTGAGAATTAGTCCACACATACTAAATGACCTCTTCTCAATTAAGGCAATTTGTATTTAAAATAATATTTCCATGCTACATGCATAGAAATATTATTTTAGAATACATTATATTTATGATTTATGTATGTTACAATCGTACGTTTTCGAATGTAATCTACTTTATTTTCTTTCCGCGTGTTTCTTAGATAATTGAAGATTTTATTTAAATTTCAAAATAGTAATACCACGGCCAGATAGAAATAAAAAATGAAGTACGTAGAATAAACAAAACGTTATAACTCGTATATTGTATTTAAACCACTTTCATAATATATTTCATGCCCTTACTCGAATCTGTGTACACTATTCCTATTCCTTTGTAATTATGATTTGAGAAAGTACACTTTGACGAAACTAAAAATTTTATTGCTAACCCGAGTATATTGGGTAAAATTTTATGAAATGGAGATTCAAATTATGCTTATATTTAGTTGGTTGTATTGGTTGTACCCTATATAATACAAAGGTTCAAACCTTAATTTGTCAAGGATGTGATAATAAAATAACACAGAATAATTGTCTGATAAGTCACCTATATACTCTTTGGACCACCAACTGGTTTGATTCACTCGAGAGATGTTTCTTTCATTAAGAATAGCTGCATCTTTTATGCACCGACGGAAATAGGCTCTACTTTATATATATACATATATACTATGTACAATAATATGTAATGTTAATATAATATGTTAATGTAATATTTTTACTTTATTTGATAACACTTGGTCTTATTGAAAGAAATACGAATACCCGTAAAGGATCATTTTGCGATATATGCACTATGATGAAGATTTTGTTTCAGATATGATAAGAAAACTTCCATGATACATGTTCTATAATGAGAGGGATCGATATAATCAAACTGACCATTTGAATATTTTTCTTCATTTCCCACTATCTTTTGAAGGTCTTAAACAAATGGCAGCCACGGATACGTAAATAGGTAATATTTGAAGCAATAAAAGCGTTATCGGTGAAGTTATCGCCGCGCGACGGAGCGCATTTTACACGCTTCTAATGAACGCCTTATGAAACAGGCAATTTATCACATGTGGCCTTATCACAGAACTGATAAATTTTATATGAAGAAACTTATTTAAACAATAGCTGTTTTATGCGCTTTAAAAATCACAGTTTACAGGATAACCGTACAATGGAAAATAAATTGAGCTGGTATGAATGTTTTCTAAATTCCTAAACCTTTGAAACACTCTGTTGGTTTCACTAAAGCGGTACGTGCTTCGTTATTTTGTAACATCTCTCATTAGGAATTCGAACAAGTGTTTCAAAAGTCTCGTCTTTGTCGGCGCCTTATATCTTCAGTGTGACCATGAATAAATCAATGAAAACAAATAGTATTCGGCTACCAGTGTTCCTAAAAGCCTTTTTTAAAATGATGTATAATCTACTATTGTTTCAGCTCCCGTTTTGTTAAGAAATTTTTACTTATGTTAATTTATTCAGAGAGATATAATAGGTTGAGCATATTTTCCTGCCAAGATTTGAATGCTCTACATGTACATATATAGATGCGAGGCGTAATTTGGTAGACACCGAAACTAATTTATTTAACAAAGGACCGGCCGACCGATAGAACACTTTTTATACGTATACAAACATAATACGCCTGTAGCTACGAGTAATTACAGATGTTCTTGATTTGCCATCACACAAAACCTCTGTCAGTCATGAGGAAATTGTTTTAGGTCGCCTTCATTTGAACATCGTGTGACGTACGTCAGTGAGCGTATAAAACATAAAGATATAGAAAGAATAAAAAGACACCCTGCTTTTAGTAAGCCCGAAAGTAAATTTAAATATTAAGTGGCTTATATAAATTAAGAATCAATTAAAATTAAAATCGTTAATCGTAATAAAACACCTTATACAACATAAAGGATGAAGTATGAAATATCTATTATTTATTAAGATATTCGATCGAATAAAAATAAGATATTCGATCTTATAAAATGTAAAGTGTTAGACAACTAAATTTGATCTGTCATAATTGGAGCTGTGTGTGTTTAAAAATTTAGATAAATATTCAAAATATATATTTCAGAATTAATTATAAATATTATTTTCTATTCTATATTTTTTTAATTATTCGGCAATGGTAAATAGTATGGTAATGGTAACTAATAATAGTTTAAAAGCATCATTTAATTATGAAAAGCTCCTATGAAACATCATCCTTGTTTAGGTCTAACTGCCTATTGAGTAATCAAAAATGAAATAATAATCTTATATATTATACAATATGGAAATAAAAATAATGGTGTAAAATATTTAATTAATCCACAATATTAGGAAAGTTAAGGGAAAAAATAATAAAATCATGTAAGCATGTTAAGAAAAGTGTTAAGTGAAAATCTTCCTATAATTTTATTTTAAGATATTCAATTACTTTTACCTATTAAATTGTACAAAAAAAATCTCATTTCTTAAAAAGTTAATATTATTAAAAAAATATTCTAGTCTAGATTAATCTAACTTTCGAGCTGTAAGAATTACAATCAATATTCAGCAAGTCATGTTTGTGATTGTCTCCATCTGTGGGAAAGGTTTTCGCTTTACAGTAAAAAATGAGGAAATGAGAAATGTATAGAGCGGTAACGAACCTGGTCCGCTTCAGTGCTTATTGGCCTTTCCGGTACACCATCGGCCCTCTTGTCATCCGCTTACACAAATCAAATCAAATTCGACTTTGTTGTCATACTAAATCTAGAAAAGAATGTTAAAATGTAAATTCACCTACAATCCACAGATAATTATTCATAAGTCACTTAATTTTTCTATTAGTCCAGAAATGTATATTCACAAATAGATAATAAGAATTCAGAATAGCTTTGCTTCAAAAAGGAAATTAATAAATTAGTCAGGATACAGAATGCGAAGAAAAAACTTTATAAAAAGTGAGTCATTCCTCATGACTCCACCACGTCCGAGGATTGGACCACCAGATGATAAAAAATTCGGCGCTAAAAGAATAACACCGTGAGTCTATTACTTGTACAGCATGTCATCGACGGTTCATTAAAATACGATGACTTAACAAAAACATGATAGTGGACTTCATTGATAGCCACTGACGTAGGTTCCACTGCATAAAAACAGCATCCATTCAATTTGGACAACTAATACAGCTCTTATTGCTATGTAATAAAGACTATGTTTTTTACATATCAATTCTTCGTTTTTGGATGAAAGATATCTTACAATAGCATTTTATTCCGTGGAATCCATTGATAACTTCGAAGCTACCAGTGTTACAGGAGGTTGGTCTCACGAGCGTTGAGAAAGTCAATTACTTCCGAATATAATCTAAAATTCCAGATGAAAATGAGAGTAACTTAAAAGATATTCTACAGTCCATTCACAAATAAATTAAAATATTTTTATTAAAAAATATTTTAGAGATTTTTTAAAAGTACATAGAAATCGATGGCAATAACTACATAAGGATATCCCTTTTTACATTAACTCAGTTTTTTGCAATATACTAAGCAGAATCTATGCTAAATTTCCTCAAGCTTCTGTACAACAGACCTTGGTTTTCGTCTAAAGCAATACAAGTACCTCAATGTATGATGTCCGTTTAAAAAAGCAAACGCAGAACCTTAACCTATGAGCCTACCTTACCGTTACCTCGTATACGTCTCCTTAAATAGTAAAAAGTGTTAAACCATTTTATATTCCATAAAATATCTTTTTTTTATTTAACCCAGAGTTTCAAAAAACAATAAAGTTGAAATTTTACTTCAATTATTCTCTCTTCTACGTTCGTAATAAGTTAATACTATAGGATCCTAGATGCTATAAAGCCTTTTACGCTACGGTGAACATTTCGTCTTTTACTTTTTACCTTCTTTGTGTGCAAATATAGAACAAGTCGGTAATTCTCGAGCCGCCCGTAACTAAATCATAAAATATGATTATTATGAAAAAATCAGTGAAGTGTAAAATTATGTGAAAATTAAACCTAGACTTTAACGATCTAAAACTGTAAACTTAAGGCTCTACCCACACTGTTGTCTTTCTGGATGTAAATATATTGAATGAATGTAAGGTTCATGAAATTACCATCCCACAAAAAGTAAACTACACTTAAATGTATGTACTATATCTGAGATTATTACATCTTTTGCTTCTTAAAAAGCTATCTCGTTCCGTTTGTTTACATTTTTGATAAAAAAAGATATTGGAAATATTAATATACATCAAAGCATGTATTTCGTTTCAATAAAATGTTACGGTATCGAAGACAATGAACTATATCTAGCTAAAATTTGCAGTGTTTAAAAAGAAAGCTAGATTATTTGCCTACTAAAAGCGTGGGAAAACTTTTTCTTCTCGATTAACAGACAGGTAAGTGTAGCAACAAATAAAAACCGTAAACCTTAAATATACAGTTACAAATTAGTGTGCCGTAGAAATTAACAATTTAATGCAAAATTTGTTCAGTGTCGATCGAAATCTGTGAGGTCGATCTGGTTTTGGAAAATCAATAGTATTAATTTTCTTGACTCAACTGATATAGTCCTTCCATAGTGTAAGGTGGTAACAATTTGTAATATAAAATAATATGATGGAATTTAAATAATTTTTATTTTATCCTAAAATAATAACCTTATTTATTTGTTGAAATAGAACCATAAAATTTTATTAAAAATATTGGTATTTTTAATTTATTAAGTATGTACTTATTTATAACGGTTTGGTATATCATCAAAACTGTTTTTTAAACTATTAAAATTTAGAAAATGTGTTACTCTTAATTGCATATTGATTACATGAAATATTTTAAAATATTATGTTTATTGGTGAAATTAGTGTAATTCCATTTTAAAAAGCTTTAAAAGTGTCCAAAACTTAAATTACCGTATCGGAAATATCGTACCAATTTTCGTGAACATGACAAAAGCTAGTTTGTAATACAAATACAAATTTATTACTAACAAAAGGTTTGAATGGTATAAATTATTATGAGCACGCAATAACCAACAATCTTATATATCTGTTAATAACGTATAATGGAATAGTTCCTTCTACATTTTTTTTTCAAGATATTAATAATGTTGGCCTAAACAATTGAATGGAATATGAAATGATAGTTTAATTACTAATATCTAAAAATCCCAGGTTCAAATTTTGATCGTGTCTTTGATTTATTTGAGTTCCACAAATATAGATTCTATTCTGTAAAACGATTTTTATGAAGCGACTTTCCTGATTCAGAAATTTGGAGCACTGATTGAGAAATCTTGTTTCCTGTGAAATCAAATTGAAATCGAGTTGACATTTTATTTTGCCCTCTGATCTATCCTTAGTATTTAGGAGAATTAAAAGTATTTAAGGACATAGTGGATTCTTTGTTAACCAAAATTTAAACAAAAGAATGGATTTTTGTCCTAAATATGCCCGTATTTATATCAGAAATGTATTTAGAAAAAGCTAGAAACTTGTTATATATAATGTCGTTCTCTACTTTAATTTAAAACCGAAACATTACTGTCGTGAATCTAATTGCTAGAGAAATTCATATAAATTTAAAGATATTATTTCCAATAGCATCACAATTTCTCGTACTATTATACATATATCTGATCTCATAAGAATCTATTAAAATAGAACCTACTTTAAGTAGAAAAAAAATTAAACCGAATTATTTGTATTATAAATAGGTAATCAATATTGTTGTAATTCGAAATAAACTGAATATAATTAAATAATTAAAATTTTTAATTGTGTAACTAAACATTTTTATGTTAGCGCTGTTGCTTAATTACTGTTCATGTTGACTTAATTTTTCACTTGTAACAAGAATAATCTGCTATTTTATCTGCTCCGTTTCTAATCGTATAATATGACATTTTATGTTTCTATAGTACCTTTCATATTAACATTTCTAACAAAATTTCTAAAATAAGAAAATGATGCCTTTTTTAATAACACATGTATAAATTTCACAAGAATCTGTGGCAAAGTATACATTTTGTTCGTAAATTTTTCATATATCAAAAATATATAATAATTAATTTCTATATTAAAAAAATTAATAATATCCAACTTATATAAATATATCCATTAATTTTTGTACTCGTAACCGTAATCATAATCATAATAAGGACTGAAGAATTAGAGATTATAATTGTATTTCAATTTTGAATTAAAACATTGAAGACAAGGTGCAGTTCTCATAACACTTTTTTATTATTTGTAAAATAAAATATGAATATCAAAATAGTCAGAACAAAATAAATAAAAAAATATACATAATTAAAAAACCAGATCAAGAATCCGAGATAGTAAGTTTCCATTGATTTTGAGAATATATTTAATTTTATTATATTTTTTTAATAAATAAAATTATTTTTTCTGTTATAAAGACAAAAAATACAATAAAATTAAAATAAGTAACAACATCCCATACAAAATAATAAGCTATCAAATAAAACAATCAATTGTCTTTTCAATAAGTACGAGGTCAATTGAATTTAATATCACATTAATTCAAGGGATCAATGCTTTAACTCTTTCTATATTTGTAATGGAGGCTTGATCCCATCAGCGGACATATAGACTGTTTCTTTACCCTATTGTGGTATTAAGCCGAGTTTTAAAGCGTAAGAAAGAGATGTCTATACCTTTGTCCATGAAGGTAACTAGAATGGGCAGAACTAATCCCCTCCATGCGCTTGCGCCGGTTTTGGTAGAGCACTCCGTTGACAATAACTTTCTTTATGGAATGGTTTATTATTATATTGTTAGTTATAATATGTAAAAAAATACATTCTTTATTATATCATACATAGCTATTTTACAATATGCCTAATTCAGACTATCCCTTATTTATTTCATATTTTGGAATTCATTCAATTTAATATGTATATGTCAAAACGATATACGCAACCGCATATTCAGCTACCTGTTACAAAGACTGTCATAACAATGTGCTAAATAAATAAAAGGCTAATATTAAACGTAACTCCTTGAAATTAACAAACTGCCTTTGACAAACGTCTTAAAAAAATGTTCGTAATCTATATATTAACATCAAGATATTATAAAGCCTTATAAGCTTAGTTTGTGGGTGTATTTCATGTGCACTCACTCACACATAAGCATTCAGCTCTAAGTAAAGGCTCCTCCGTAGAACGACGCACACAAGCACGCTACACTCTGTACGGACACAGAACTCTCAGTTCTATACTACCTCCTCAACTGCACTCACGCGCAGAAAAAAAGATAACGCGATTTCGATCTTTTTTTTCCAATAAAAGTCACCGCTGCCAAGGAAATTCCAACCAGAGTCGAATAAAACTGACCTCTACAAACGAACGCGTCCGTCATATTCAAATTAAATATTACAGAACACGTAGTTTTAATTATGTAGATACAAATGGGTGATCATCAATTTGAATTATGTGCTTTCTGAGTTTAATTTAATGTAAACAGATATTTATCATAGTTCCGTGACATTTATAGAGTGTTTATGTTTTAACTGTTGGTTGGGAGATGTTCTGCCGAGTTCAATAAGTTAACGTGCTTGTTTTTGAGAAAAGTATATCTGTCATACCATTATGGAACGCCACCAAAATGGTATGGATGTGTGGGTAGGTAAGGGTATATAAGTAATTTTGTTACTTTTGTACTAATTCATTAAGTGTAAATATTAAACCTTATTTTCAATGTGAACTTTATGCCCATTGAATATCTTTTTACATGAAATTCAACATCATATAATATAAACGGTTATTACCGTATGTATGTATTCATGCATACATTAATTTACATCTTACTATAGTTATTTTCAATGCAAAGCTAGCTTTCATTAGGATCAACCTACGGTAAGCTAACTTTATTAAACAAACAACGTTAAGTATGAAGCGCTTTATTTGCTGATTTATTTCTAAAATATTAGAGGAATGAGATGAATATTATTTAATCCTAATTTGATCAAATTTGTATGCTTTTTAATTTTTGGTCTCAGATTTTTTAACTACACTATTAGTATATTTAAAATCTGTATGAACTTGAGAAATTTGAATGGACAGCTATTAAAATTGAATTTCAAACAGATTATAAATTAAACGAGTCCAATGTCACATTTAATGATTTTCAATTCTAGTACAACCTGTGTTCGTTGTATTATATATACGTACATTGTTCACAACCGACGGTTGAAACTAGATTTTTATATAATCCATATAGTATGTAAGTATCTTTTCACTACTCAGAGTCATTGAAATGAAACAATAAGAATATAAATATTTAAAAACAGTGTCTTATTAGAAAAGCTGACCGAGTTTATGATCTCAAATAGACAGAGATATATATTTAATACGAATAACATACTCGTACATACGTTTTGTTTAAAATACACTTGCCATCCACTGTAAAAAATATAATTGAATCGTCTTAACATTCCACTCATAAAATTCGCAAATAGAGAAATAATAAATCAACATATCAAAATGAACATTTCAAGACAAAGCAAAATTTATGCAATCATTTATCCTTAATATATAAATATAGAAAAGATCTTTAAAATATAACTAATAAATATTATAAGTAACCGTATTTTCTTTCACACCCTAAATTTTTCAGGTCAGGGCAGGGTTAACCAATTGGGTGGTTTATTCATCAATGGACGTCCTTTACCGAACCACATCCGTCTGAAGATCGTGGAGATGGCAGCGGCGGGTGTACGGCCTTGTGTCATCTCAAGACAGTTGAGGGTCTCTCACGGCTGTGTCTCTAAAATACTCAATAGATACCAGGTTATATCTTGTTACTAAATATATATATGTATATAACTGCATGTTATAAATAGGAACGTCAAACGAAATACTTGAACAAAAATTTAAATATGTAATAAGGAGTCAATTTAATCGACTAGGAATTCATTTTCCAGAGCTCGAAATATCAAATCTTGTCGTTTCGTTAAATATTTAATATGATTAAAACATAGATGTAAACACATGAATATGGTATAAAAAACGCTGTACAATATGTTTTTACTAATCAATAAATAATAGATCTCATATTATATAAAAGATATAAAAATTTAATTGAATAATAGCAAAATACATTCACATTCATTTTTTAATATAATATCAGAATTTTTGTTATCAAAGTTACTACCACAAAAACTCTATTTATGATACATATTAAGAAAATACACCACGAAATTATTAGACTAAGAATTAGACTACCTATTATAATTATTTTTCTTGATAAATAACGAAATTAAATCATTATAATTATAGTAATAAATTTAAAAGAGGTAGAATTAAAAATAATATAGGACATTCGAAATGTAAATAACAAAATCAGACAAATAAATACATCACATTTTAATCCACAAGACGAAGTTAAATGAGAGAGGATTTAATATTGTAGTGCTTTCCCAAGCTTGAAATACTAGTTTAGTTGTATGGAGTTGGAAGCTTAAGTCTTTAAAGTTTAAAAACAAGCGTTAACGGCTATTTAATTTAAAATAACTCCATTTATTTTAAACAAAACTCTTTTTCTTCGTTGAAGAAAAGAAGACTGAATGCAAGAAAAAACGTTACAATAAATAAAACTTGGTTTTTCGGTTGCTAAGCGTTTTTCATTATTTTATAACTACATAGTTCAAAAAAGACATATATACATTATAAAATAATAAAATAAAAAATAAAAAATATTGAAAAACCTTAGTTTCATTCAAATGAGTAAGTGCGAAAATCTTAGATATCATAACGTTACATTTACTTTTTCGGAATATTAGTTGCTTTAAAAGAAATAGATATTTAAAAGAAATAGATATTTTCTTCAACAAATTTTTGTAACTGCACTAATCCCCTTACAGCTGCATAACCTTGACGAATCAGTATTCCAATAAATGGGGGAACATAAAGTAAATCATTATTTAAATCATTATTTTCAAACAGTTTTTCAATGAAATATTTATTACCAACATTTATTGTGACAAACAATAAAAATACATAAACGAAATGTAATGTGATATTCCGTACAGCTCAAAACATTTCCAAGCTAAATGCAAAACCATCACGAAACGTAATGACTAATGAAGTTTAAAGCACATTTTTATAAAGTAATGCAATTAAAAAAACCGGTTGTGTATAAATTTCACTTCAATTTCCTGATAAAAAAAAATTTTACTCGACTATTAACCGTCAAATTGTTTGTTTAATGTATAATAATAAAATATTTTTTAAACTGAAAAATTTACTCCGACGACAAAAAGAAAATATAGTTTATATGTAATAGTATAGTTTATGACTTTTCTTTAAGCAAACTTTAGAAAAATCTGACAGGTTAAAAGGTTCTAATTTAAATAGGTTAAAACTAACTTGTAAGTTGGATTAAACCCTTTAAACCAGTTTTTATAAAACACCCTATCAACCGGCAAAACAATTGCCATTGATTCCCTGTTCAGCCATGCCTGAAGGTTTGTTTTCTCTCCCGGCTACTATAATAGTTATTGTTTCATTCAGGAAGTAAGTTTTCACGCCCAGAGAATCTGTGGCCTCTAATTGTATATTACAGACATATATCCATAGGTTTGTAAATTATTCAATTACAAAATATACGACTGCTTCTAAATTCTATCAAATTTTGGTACAAAATTTTGTTGGCATTTATAGGTATAAGTGCTTTTAACAAAGTGATGGAATGCCAACATATTGTCTTAAATTAAATATATTATACAACATTAGGCCCTTCTTATTTATTTAATCTAATCTTCTGTTATAAATTATACAGAACAATTCAAGAAAAACCAAACAAAGTTTATGTATAACGGTTTTTAAGAATCATAAATCTTAGAATTCATTTTATCATCTAGGAGACTGGTTCCATCAGACCCGGTGTAATTGGTGGGTCAAAACCAAGAGTTGCTACCCCTGAAGTGGAAGCTAGAATTGAAGAACTCAAAAGACAAAATCCTGGTATTTTCTCTTGGGAAATACGCGAAAAACTTATTAAGGTACGTAACCATATAAATTATTGTTAAAGGTTGTGTTAATCATAGCATTAAGTTTACATATTTATAGAAAGGAACGTGTCTGTTTCTTTGGAGGATATTAAGCCCACACTCAGCCGCTGGTTATGAATTCATAATAGACAATACCTAATTCATTAATAACGTTAGCTAGAAGAAATCCTCAAAACAGAGGCTGATAGCTATACAGAAACGAATGTATAAAAATAGAAAAGACATTTACTCAAAAGAGAAGTCCATAGTAAATTTTGTAAAATAATAAATGGAGCATTATAATACTTATTATCGTAATGAACAAGGCTTGTGAAAACGGCGTAAATAATAAAACTAGTATATGAAAAGAGTTTTAGAGTTTACAATTCTGTTTATCTTGAATAGTAAATACAATAATAAAAAAAAACATTTAGGCAAAACATATATTATTTCCAGGAGGGGGTGTCCGATCCGCCCAGTATCTCATCCATATCTCGTTTACTGCGAGGCGGCTCTAGAGATCCAGATGGGAAAAAAGATTACAGCATCGATGGCATATTAGGAGGTAAATTATTCATCCAAAAATCATAATAATTCTTGAAGTACTAACGTATAATACATTAAATTAAAAAAAAACATATGTTAATCACATTATAAGCAAATAAACTAGCCCAAGCAACAGTATTCTATTAAAGGTTGTATAATAACTTTTTTGTCGCAAACACTTACAAACCCACAACTTGTCACAGCTTTCTCACGTGTCAAAAAAATCAATTTCCGCACACGAAATATCAAAGTCATTGTCACAGGTGATATATTGAACTTTTTGGCTATACCGGCACTTTTGTCGGAATCTGAGCAAAGCATCTTTGCGTTTGTAAATAGTTGGGCAAAGCAATCCGACAAAGAACCCCGCTAGCTCCCGTCGCGTTTCGATAGTGCTGAAAACGACAACAATCGGCGTAATGTTTTGGTATAATGTCATTGTTGCATTATTCTGTACTTAATTTTTATTGTGTACATGTACCTGTTGCACACCCGACAGAAAAGCTAACAGTTTAGTTGATTTTTTACCTTCGATCTTCCATTGTATATACAAAAAATTTGTTGTATGGAAATACCTTACATTAAATTATGAATTCAAAAGAATTTGACAAATTATTTTTATAGTTTTATATTAAATTTACAGAAACAGACTTTGATTTTGCTATCTTTTCATTAGTTCAACAAAGTACCCACGGACGTTTTTCATCTAACTATTAAATAAATTTCTATATTTATTATATTTGAATTCATATTTAGCCTTGAAAACAAATATTTTTAAAAAGGCATTGCTTATAACAATAATTGCAATCATTACAATCAGACCGCTTTCACATTTGAACAATACAAAAAGTGATAAAATCTTTGTAATAGCCTTAGTCGTTAGTATCAACTAATGTCACGGTCGAGACAATTTAAAGTCCAAGAGGAAGATTATGTTATGTTTGGATTACCTCACATGAAGCTCATGTAAATTTATTTGTGGTTTTACAATAGATTTAAAATGTATAAAATATATTTTGAGCTAACTTACGCTAAGAAATGTTAGAAGGAATTCCTATAGATATAAATTTTATTACGAGATTACATAAGATATCCTTATTTTATTTTCTCGTAAGCAATCTCATAAAATTCCATACAAGATGCCTTACGAAATGCCAGACATAGATCAACTTCAGTACAATTATGTCGACGCGGAACATCCTAACTATGCGGTCATTTATAACGCGACATTGTTACGTGTATTCAACGTTTCATGACACAATAACCCCCCAACGACGAGGACATCGCCGGAAGTTTCGGCACTTACAGTAACGAAGTATCTTTTAAAGTACAGTACTGATATGTAATATTATAAAATTTTCTATTTCATATGGATTAATTTTATATCGTTTATAGCAGTACGAAAGTTTTTAATATTATATGAAAATGAATATTGTACTTTGATATTTCTCCATATTATAATATTTGCATCAGAAAGACGTATTTCTTTAAAAGTAATAACAAACATCGGATATTTTATTTGCATAACCAGTCAAAAGCCCAAAGAATCCCATCACGCCCATCACGAACGTGCTAATCCGGCCATCTGTTAACATCAGAACGAACCGATGAAACAAAGGCCGTCCCGACTGTTTTTAATGAGCCCAGATTATGAAGGTGTTAAACCGCCGTCGCTGCTCTTTCAACTTCCAAATTATGACTTTCGACTTTACTCGCCGACTTTACGGGGTCACATTTCGGCATTCGCCAAAGAATATCCATCTCTTTTCTATATATATTTCATGCATAGCACCTTCCCATTCTGAATGTCCTCCATAATTCATTTGTGTGCTTCGAATATTATAAATTAAACTTTAACATCTTGTGCTAAGAATGAATTTCATTAAAGATTTACTTTAACTACATGTATAAGTACTAGGTCGTTTAGACCCATACTTTAAGATCACGGTCGTAACAAAAAAGCTAAATAAGATTGATTCGACTCTCATAATATCGCAATGGAATTTGAGAAATGTAAATCATTTTATTACAATACATTGAACTTTATTTAGTTCTAATATTATTTTAGCTTACTCTATAATAATGTGACAAGTGTGTAATAATTGCTATTAACTATTAATAATAATAACGTTTATACATTTATGTCTGCGTTCTTGTATATCTATGAATTGTCTATAGAAATCAACTTGTAATAAACAACTAAAAGTAAATTATTCTCAAAACTATGTATTCTTACAATCGTGTTAGTATTTGCGCTAACTTACGCTAAACTACTTAAATAACTTAGAAAAAGTGTTGTTCTTTTTTTCGTACCATAAATCGAGATCACCACCAAAATATTGAATGGTGCCAAAATGTCACCCGAACCCAAAGATGCCGACAAAAGGACCGCCACGTTGGGTGTTCTTATTCCACTGCTGAGTCAAATTTTTTCATTTCATTCAATTTGACTTCTTTCAAAAGGCTATTAATATAAGCCGCGTTTTTTAAAAACGGTTTTAAGGCCAAAGGAGCTTATTGTTAAGATTTTTAATCTGTTTCCGTAGGATATCGCTACCGATTTATAAATCAGATCGTGATGGAGACTTGACGGATTTTAATTTACAAACGTATGAAACGGGTTTGTTAAAAAAGTCGCTAATAAATTGCAAGAAAAAAAAGACGGAGACAAATCACTGTAACGCATTAGATGAACGCAATGATGAGGAATTCGAACTAAACAAAGTACTCAATTAACGTGTGATACTTTATCTGTAACTTCTATACTAGAAAATATATTATTACAATAATAGTTTTGTTAATTAATCATTCGATAAGGCACTTTAGTTTTACAAAATTAATTTTTGATTTATGTTTATATATGTATAACGAATATTTCTATTCAACTTATGCCCATTTATCTAACTATATTTTCAGGTCGTGGATCAGACTCCTCAGATATAGAATCGGAGCCAGGCCTGACCCTTAAAAGAAAACAGCGTCGATCTCGTACCACGTTTACAGGAGAACAGCTTGACGCGCTTGAGAGAGCTTTTCATAGAACGCAGTACCCTGATGTATACACTAGAGAAGAACTTGCTTTGCAGACTGGCCTTACTGAAGCCAGAATACAAGTAAGACGTAGACGTAGCAAGAATACTCAAATGTCATCAAATAAGAATAACTATTTTTTTTAAGTTTTAGTGCTAATAGCCTTGCAAAATATTTATAAAACTTATTTTAAACTAAATTTACACTGGTGTGACAGTTAAATTTAATTAGATTCTTTTTTTTAGGTTTGGTTCTCTAACAGAAGAGCTCGACTACGAAAGCATACCGGCTCTAACCCAACTCCTACACTCGCCAGTTATTCGACTATACCAATGCCGCAGATACCATGCCCATATCCAGCCGGAGAGATACCTTCACTATCTCAACATCACCCACAACATCCGGATGCCTGGCATCATCAAAAGTATGCCAATTATAACCAGCTAATGGCTCAGTCTCAACATCTTAACCAAGCCTTTCAAACTGCAGCCTTCCCCAGCACCTCTGGGACTACTTTCAGTCATATAGTGACCGGTGCCAGCGCACCGACCCACAATCAGCTTCTTGATAGCACTCCCAGAACTGATTATCCTCGATATCCCACTGATGTCTACAATAAACCCATCAGTTATATGCCTAAAGATACGGAGGCGGAAGATAAGGTGGTGGGAGAAGACATTATAGAGCAACGTGAAGAAGCTTACATAAAAACGACTGGAAATGAATACAAAGAATTAGCGACCAGTGATTATCCAAAAGTTCCTGCTGATTATTCTAAGCTTTCTGTTGATCCGTCTTCGTCAAACTGGACTGCATCTAATAACTCCTTGAACATGAGTCTATCTGGATTATCCAGTGACTATAAATATATGAGTGATCCTTATGCTTTTACTACTATCTCGTCGGATACCCTAAATCAACATACCTACACGAATCCAGGAAATGCAGCCAACAAATATTGGATTTGACACAATTATTAAAAGGACGATTAATTTCAGTTTAGAACCAATTAAAGACAAATTTTATTTTGAGAATGTTAACCCAATGCAGTACCTTATAGTCTATTATAAGATTTATTTAAATGTAAATAATTGTTATTATTATTTAAAAGATATAATTAATATTTTAAGTATTACTAGTAGATAATTAAGTGCATCTTTATGCAATGTTAGTGAACATTACCTCTTTATGCATTCCATTTATAGATACCTATTTTAATACCAAATTTAATTTTGTAAGTCATTAGTAAATAAATTTAGAATACAAATTGAATTTCTTTGTTTCAGTTGAACCTAATTTTTCTAAGCGATATTCTTATGTTATCTTCTTTTATATTTTATGAATAGTATGTATATTTTGATGAACCATCTGACTTGCTTGGTATAGATTGTGATAAAATACTAGATTGATAGAATATCAGGATCTTATAACTATTTTTTACCGTAGTTAGTATAGCGTGTGTTGAGTAAACGATTACAGAGAAAAATAATCCTTTTCTGTATTTTTCTGAAGCTACTATTATTAAAGAAAGTATGTAATATTTTCATATTTGTTAATTTACTTAACGCTTCTACTATAACCTACATAGTACATAATGATTGGTATTACTTTTTGTAGTCTAAACAAAAAATAAACACAAGGTATTTTTTATAATGCTCTTTAATTATATTAATAAGTACATAAATAAAAGTAATCAAAATCACAGGTTTCAATCAATTTCAAACAAAAACTAATATTATAAATGCGAAAGTAACTCTGTCTGTCTGTCTGTCTGTCTGTCTGTCTGCTACGCTTTCACGCCTAAACCACTGAACTGATTTTAATGAAATTCGGTACAGAGATAGAGTTGACCTTGAGAAAGAACATAAGATAGTTTTTATCCCAGACTTTTGAAAGGTTCTCTTGGAAACGCGATATAACCGAACTCCACGCGGCGAAGCTGCGGGCGGAAAGCTAGTTATATTAATAAGTACATAAATAAAAGTAATCAAAATCACAGGTTTCAATCAATTTCAAACAAAAATAAATATAGGTATTTGCGCATTTAGTTATTTCTGAAGTAATATATCAACAACAGAGGCTCCTATTTCATTAGGTAATGTAGTTCCATTGGTTATAGATACTGACGTTTGAGTTGGTAAAGCTACAGTTACTTCTTGACCAACTTGACTTTCCTGTGGCAAAGTTATAGCTTCTGTAACAGTGCTTCCTTGTACTGTATTTACATAATTAATAGCGTCATTGATAATTGCTTCAGGTACTATAACTTGTGATTTCACAGTATCAGGTTGGGGTAAATATTTGTCTGAAGTAATATTAATATCATTATTGATTGGTTTTTCGCCTATAACTTTGATTATGTTATTATCTACCAAAAGTGATGCAGGTACTTCCACAGGAGCAATAGTAACCGTAGAAGTTACATTTTCGTTGTTAATGGCTGCTGTTGTTGTTGCTATATTTGCATCAGCATAAGTTTCATTATCACCAGCTACAGACGATGCTAACAATTCGACAGGAGCAACTGTGGATAAAGAACTTAGTTTTTCGTTGTTAATTGCGACTATTGTTGGTGCAACGCTTGTATCAACATTAGTTATGTTGTCACCAGCCCCTGATGATACCGAGACCTCAATAGGGGAAACTGTTACTGAAGGAGTCACAATTCCATTGCTACTAACGACTATTGTTGTCGCGCTATTTGGATCAGCATTAATTATGTTACTAACAGCTACGGATGGTGCTGACACTTCCACAGGAGAAAGTGCTGATAAAGGAGTCACATTTTCATTGTTATTAGAGACTATTGTTGTTGCAACATTTGCATCAGCATTAGTTATGTTATCAGCAGCTACGGATGGTACTGACACTTCCAGAGGAGAAACTGCTGGTGATGGAGTCACATTTACGTTGTTATTAACGATTATTGGTGCTGCAACATTTGCATCCACATTAGTTATGTTATCGCCAGCTACGGATGGTACTGACACTTCCACAGGAGAAACTGCTGCTGAAGGAGTCACATTTACGTTGTTATTAGCGACTATTGTTGCAACAACCTTTGCATCAGCATTAGTTATGTTATCGCCAGCTACGGATGGTACTGACACTTCCACAGGAGAAACTGCTGCTGAAGGAGTCACATTTTCATTGTTATTAGAGACTATTGCTGCAACATCATTTGCATTAACATTAATTATGTTATCGCCAGCTACGGATGGTACTGATACTTCCACAGGAGAAACTGCTGCTGAAGGAGTCACATTTTCATTGTTATTAGCGACTATTGTTGTTGCAACATTTGCATCAGCATTAGTCATGTTATCAGCAGCTACGGATGGTACTGACACTTCCAGAGGAGAAACTGCTGGTGATGGAGTCACATTTACGTTGTTATTAACGATTATTGGTGCTGCAACATTTGCATCCACATTAGTTATGTTATCGCCAGCTACGGATGGTACTGACACTTCCACAGGAGAAACTGCTGCTGAAGGAGTCACATTTACGTTGTTATTAGCGACTATTGTTGCAACAACCTTTGCATCAGCATTAGTTATGTTATCGCCAGCTGCGGATGGTACTGACACTTCCACAGGAGAAATTGCTGCTGAAGGAGTCACATTTTCATTGTTATTAGCAACTATTGTTTCTACAACCTTTGCATCAGAATTAGTTATGTTATCGCCAGCTACGGATGGTACTGACATTTCCACAGGTGAAACTGCTGCTGAAGGAGTCACATTTTCATTGTTATTAGAGCCTATTGCTGCAACATCATTTGCATTAACATTAATTATGTTATCGCCAGCTACGGATGGCACTGACACTTCCACAGGAGAAACTGCTGCTGAAGGAGTCACATTTACATTGTTATTAGCGACTATTGTTGTTGCAACATTTACATCAGCATTAGTTATATTATCAGCAGCTACGGATGATGCTGATACTTCCACAGGAGAAATTGCTGGTGAAAGAGTCACATTTACGTTGTTATTAGCGACTATTGTTTCTACAACCTTTGCATCAGCATTAGTTATGTTATCGCCAGCTGCGGGTGGTACTGATACATCCACAGGAGAAACTCCTGCTGAAGGAGTCACATTTACGTTGTTATTAGCGACTATTGTTGCAACATTTGCATCAGCATTAGTTATGCCATCACCAGCTACGGATGGTACTGATACTGCTACAGGAGAAACTGCTGGTGAAAGAGTCACATTTACGTTGTTATAAGCGACTATTGGTGCTGCAACATTTACATCAACATTAGTTATGTTATCGCCAGCTACGGATGGTACTGACACTTCCACAGGAGAAACTTCTGCTGAAGGAGTCACATTTTCATTGTTATTAGAGACTATTGCTGCAACATCATTTGCATTAACATTAATTATGTTATCGCCACCTACGGATGGTACTGATACATCCACAGGAGAAACTCCTGCTGAAGGAGTCACATTTACATTGTTATTAGCGACTATTATTGCAACATTTGCATCAGCATTAGTTATGCCATCACCAGCTACGGATGGTACTGATACTGCTACAGGAGAAACTGCTGGTGAAAGAGTCACATTTACGTTGTTATTAGCGACTATTGGTGCTGCAACATTTGCATCAACATCAGTTATGTTATCGCCAGCTACGGATGGTACTGATACTTCCACAGGAGAAACTGCTCCTGAAGGAGTCACATTTTCATTGTTATTAGAGACTATTGTTGCAACATCATTTGCATTAGCATTAATTATGCTATCGCCAGCTACGGATGGTACTGACACTTCCACAGGAGAAACTGCTGCTGAAGGAGTCACATTTACGTTGTTATTAGCGACTATTGTTGCAACATTTGCATCAGCATTAGTTATGCCATCACCAGCTACGGATGGTACTGATACTGCTACAGGAGAAACTGCTGGTGAAAGAGTCACATTTACGTTGTTATTAGCGACTATTGGTGCTGCAACATTTGCATCAACATTAGTAATGTTATCGCCAGCTACGGATGGTACTGACACTTCCACAGGAGAAACTGCTGCTGAAGGTTTCACATTTTCATTTTTATTAGGGACTATTGCTGCAACATCATTTGCATTAACATTAATTATGTTATCGCCAGCTACGGATGGTACTGATACATCCACAGGAGAAACTCCTGCTGAAGGAGTCACATTTACATTGTTATTAGCGACTATTATTGCAACATTTGCATCAGCATTAGTTATGTTATCGCCAGCTACGGATGGTACTGACACTTCCACAGGAGAAACTGCTGCTGAAGGAGTCACATTTTCATTGTTATTAGAGACTATTGGTGCTGCAACATTTGCATCAACATTAGTTATGTTATCGCCAGCTAAGGATGGTACTGATACTTCCACAGGAGAAACCGCTCCGGAAGGAGTCACATTTTCATTGTTATTAGAGACTATTGTTGCAACATCATTTGCATTAGCATTAATTATGCTATCGCCAGCTACGGATGGTACTGACACTTCCACAGGAGAAACTGCTGCTGAAGGAGTCACATTTACGTTGTTATTAGCGACTATTGTTGCAACATTTGCATCAGCATTAGTTATGCCATCACCAGCTACGGATGGTACTGATACTGCTACAGGAGAAACTGCTGGTGAAAGAGTTACATTTACGTTGTTATTAGCGACTATTGGTGCTGCAACATTTGCATCAACATTAGTTATGTTATGGCCAGCTACGGATGGTACTGACACTTCCACAGGAGAAACTGCTGCTGAAGGTTTCACATTTTCATTGTTATTAGGGACTATTGCTGCAACATCATTTGCATTAACATTAATTATGTTATCGCCAGCTACGGATGGTACTGATACATCCACAGGAGAAACTCCTGCTGAAGGAGTCACATTTACATTGTTATTAGCGACTATTGTTGCAACATTTGCATCAGCATTAGTTATGCTATCACCAGCTACGGATGGTACTGATACTGCTACAGGAGAAACTGCTGGTGAAAGAGTCACATTTACGTTGTTATTAGCGACTATTGGTGCTGCAACATTTGCATCAACATTAGTTATGTTATCGCCAGCTAAGGATGGTACTGATACTTCCACAGGAGAAACCGCTCCGGAAGGAGTCACATTTTCATTGTTATTAGAGACTATTGGTGCAACATCATTTGCATTAGTATTAATTATGCTATTGCCAGCTACGGATGGTACTGACACTTCCACAGGAGAAACTGCTGCTGAAGGAGTCACATTTACGTTGTTATTAGCGTTGATTGTTGTTGCAACATTTGCATCAACATTAATTATGCTATCACCAGCTACGGATGGTACTGACACGTCCACAAAAGAAACTGCTGCCGAAGGAATCACATTAACGTTGTTATTAGCGACTGTTGTTGTAACAACAGTTGAATCAGCATAAGTTATGATATTACCACCAACAGTTGATTTATTTGATTCAAGGTTAATATTGGTTTGTGATAAAACGGTAGGTAATGAAATTGCGTTGTTTATTCCTGAGATATTACTAGAAGAATCTGTTATGGGACTGTTGTTTCCAAGAGATTCGTTTCCATTTGTATTATTTGTGACAGTATTTGCAGATCCAATATTTGTATTTGAAGCTCCACTTTCATTTAAAGATACTTGAGTAACAATTCCATTTGAATTCAAAATGTTTACACCAGTATTATTAGTCTTCTCGATTACAGAATTTTGGATAGTTGAAATTCCGGCAGAGCTGCCTTGATTTGCAATATTACTTGGTTCACTTCCACCGACACCGATTAAGGAAGGTAAGTTATTATCGGTACTTAAAGTTGGCAAATCACTAATCGGTTTATTAGCCGCTTCTAGGGATGGAATATTATTTACAGGATTGCTTACGCTTGATGTACCAATCACTGGTGGCTCGTTATTATTCCCGGTAGGGTTATAATTGCCGTTTAAATTATTTCCAGAATCACCCACATTGTTAATATTACTTGACCCGGACACTGTGTTGTCATTGGCATTCCCATTGGGAGAAGGAATTAAATTTTCAGATCCATTACCACTAAGAGGATTATCAATATTGACTACGCCTTGTTCTACGGTTGCATTTGTTGAAGCTATTGTGGGTTTGCTTCCAGCCAACCAGTTAGGAATGACACTTGATAAAAATTGCCCAATCGTCTGAAGTAATGTTCTTTTCCCATCAAGTTGTTGTTTAACTTCTGAAGCCCAAGTCTGATTTACGTTACTTAATACGGACGATTTATTATTTAATTTTTCAATATCTTTATCCAATTTAATTTTCAATTTTTGAATTGAAATAGCATTAAGATGGCTTAATAGTTGATTATTTAGTTGACTATTTCCATTAGGTGCCCTAGCATTTTCTTGTATCTTTGTTTGAATTAGTTTAACGATTGCGTCCCTTCGTTCAGTTTCAGTACTATTAGAACTTAATCCTAGTTCCTCTTGAAGGTACCTTCTCAATGCTGCTTGCTTTTCTAATTGTGTACTGGATAAATTAAGACCATATTTAACATAAATATGATGTCTCCAAATATCAGATAGTTCAATAGAACTTTCTTCTTCAGTATTCAAAAAGTCACCTTCCGAATCTTGATTCAATTCCTTCCTTATTTTTTCGATTTCTTTACGTTTCTTTTCATCCCTCTTTTTGTTTTCCTCTTGTTCCTTTTCTAATAGTTTTTGCCTTTTTTCTTCTTCTTTCTGTTTTTCTTTTTCAAGCTTTTGTTGGCGCTTGCGTTCCTCTTTTTCTTTTTTTTCCTCTGCCTTACGTTGTTCTTTAGCCTTCTTTTCCTCAAGCTTGCGTTGTTTCTCCTCTTGTTTAAGTTTTTCTTTTTCTTCTTTTTCTCTTTTTTTAATTTCCGATTCTCTTAATTTCTTTTCAAGTGAATTGTTTTCACCGGTATCATCATCATCATCACCGTCGTCATCTATTGAGGTAATAGATTCATCAGAGTCGGATCTTTTATAACGCAGTAACAGATTTGAATCGCTTGGCTCATAACGCAAATATTTTGCACTTACTAGGCAAAAGCCCATCTGTAAAATTAAAAAGTCATTTTAAATTATTTGTAATAAAAAAAACGTCCACGTTTTGTTTTATTTTTAACAATATAAGAAAATAGTGGTTAACTAATAAACAGTTGTTAAATATAGAAATTAACTTAATAAATTTGTGGAATGTTGATCTATTGTTTCTACGTCTATCATTAAAACCTTTTATTCAAAAGCATATGAAATACTAAGATTTGTTTTGAAAGACCTAAAACATTTTATTGATATAAATTAAAAAATAATTAACTCTTTTTATTCATTTACACTTATAACATTAACTGTAAGAATTTTTTAAATAATTATCTTTCTTTACTCTTCCTAACCTACACTTAAATCAAAACGTAATAGCAAAGGGTTGCAACATTTAATATATAGATAAAAAAATATATATTTAAGTTCATAAGACATTCAGATACCACTCAAGCGTAATAATAAATGCTCTAAATATATTTTTAGTATGAACCTTTTAAATAAAACATATTAATTTAATGACAATATTAATAATAAGGAAACAAAATATTAATAAAAATGGTGTAATATAAGTTTTCAATAATTCAAAAATATATCAGAACTACTATTTTGATTTTCCATCGTGTTTAAACTAAAATAAATTCAAATTAACAAATATTTATAACTAATGTTAAATTAAGAATTACCTAAACCTTATATCTAAAGTTAAACTTAATGTTTTTTAATTTAAAATATTACAAAAAAGAAAACTTACAAATAATAGGAAAACTGTTATCCGCATTTTTAATATTTCGTTCGCACTATAACTTCATATACTTCACAAGAGTTCGTTCGTTACTATGAACCGAAATACATTAAGCTAACCATTTTATACTTGGTCTAACAATTAGTATAGATAAGGAAGATAATGCTTTCTAAAAAGATAACTAAAGACAAGAAACAACAAATATGTTTTCGCAAAGACTGACTCATAACAAACAGCGGTAATGACATAAAATAATAATAATTAACGTCGGATGTAATAATACAAAACAAATATCGCAAAAAGGAAATGAGGACTAATTAAGACGAAAATACTTTATAATATTATTAAATTTAATATGTATATATTTTTTTATTTCTTTTTATTTTTGAAGACGCGATTATAGTAAAAATACAGGTATTTGATGAATTATGTAAGTAAATGAATCGTAAATATAATTATTTTATACACAAGGAAGCATTTTAAATCTGTTTGCCTATAGCATTAAATTGTTATCTTATATATTAAAATATCATCTTTCCTTTCTTATTTAATACAAAAATCAAAAAAAAAATTATTTACTCAATTTTTATAAAAGTATTTTCTATTTTTATTGATAAAATTAATTCTCTGATTGCTCAATAAGAATTCAATAACTTGACAATGGCAATTCATTAAATACTTTCGTTTATCATATAAAATATATTGTTCTTTGGAACGTCGTCGTTTAACAAATATAGTTACAACCACAGTCTAATTGTAAATGGAAATTTTTAGACAATAATCCTTTCTTATTTATCAGTTTCCTAAAAGGATGGACTTTGAATGGAACATCAAACAATTAAAGACAAAGTATTCTGTTACCTAAATAAAATAAAACTCAAAGACTTAAGTAAAAGAATTGATTCTTATGTTATTGTGATACAACAAATAATTTGAAAGACAAAAACGAATTGAAAAAATGATTATGATCATTGATAATAACAAAAAAACATCAATTATTGGTTTTGGCTTATCTACATATAAACATTAAAAGTATAATGTGTACCTAATAACTATTACTCGGAAAAAGTGAATGATTTTTGGTAGATGTTGCACTTTTAATGCGTGCAAGCATTATTTCCATATTCTTTTAAGTTAATATTCAACTAAAATCCCCTTTATGATTTCCAGATAATTCATAATTAATTACTTTTATAAATTTTTGATCAGTTTTTTGTAAACTTTTATATTTTGAAAAATATTGGACATGTAAGTTCTTTGAAATTTAATAACTACCCAGAATTGCTCATGTCTGAAAAGACAAGAATTCCAATTTAGTACTAATTCTAATAATCATTTTTATTATAGTTTTAAATATCACTGGTTTGTTGTAAATTTAACTTATTCTAGAAGGTCATTAAGGCGTTACGCAATAAGATTAAGTCACGAGTTTAAAAACTTATCTCAAAGATTACTTTGTTTACTTTCTTTGTTTAGTGTTTGTTAAATAAAACGGAAACCTAGATTATGATTCTCTGATAAAACTACCGAAATTTAGGTATATAACTTAAATACGATTGCTCTTCGAGACTCAAGACTATTCAAGAAATGGATTCCCTGCAAAAGAATACTAAACGCTTACGAATCGTTGGTTCTTTATTATACGAGCACATGGTTAGATCCTTAAAGAATAGCTTTAATCTCCTCAATCTTGACTGGTTTCATATATTTTGAAGTAACACTTTTTAAAATTCATCATTTATTTTCTTCGCTACAACAACCTCCTAAGGTATACTATTCAATCATCAAGCATTTTAAATTTATCTCATCTGCTATAATCTTCTACCCGGCAATTTCCCCGCTTTAGCCAGGGTCTGCCTTACATGTTGTGAATAGTTTTGGCTAATTGTTTTTACCACTGGCTGCCTGTCTGACATCAATCCTCTTTGGGAAAGCATTAATCAGTGATGTCTAAATACTCTTAGAAAGTACATATGATTCGGAAAAATCACATTGGTACTTGCCAGGGCCAGGATCGAATCCACGCCCTCATGCATGAGAGGCGGGTTTTTTAACCACTAGGCCACCACTGACTTGTCTTATCAAATCTCATATGCCATAATCTGTGTTATAAACAATTTTTTTATCATTTACCTGTATTGTGTATGAATCTTTCTATCTTCCCTTTATAACATATATTTATGTATTGATACATTTATTTGCAAATTTACATGAATTACAATAACATTGCTTTTTACTTAAGTGTTTATTAAAATATTTTTTTATATTATTTTGTTACATAAGACAAACCAAAGAAAATACAGTAATAAAACAGAATTGGTTATTACTTCACTCATATAGATTTTTCTTTTTTTCTTAAACGTCGTACCTAATATAATTTTGTATTATGTACTAAGTTCAGTTCTGAACTATCCACTATAGAGCTATCCTCCAAAATAATAAAATTTTGTATAAAAACCTTGTCTTTCCCGATTTATGGCGCTGGAGCAAAAATACATATTTCAACTACTTATCAATAATCAGTATTTCTAAATATTTAATATTCCTAATTATAAAACAGGAAAAAATCTTACATTATTGTTTTAGACGCAAATATTAATTATACTGTTTGTTTGTATACATTCTTTTTGCACAGAACTTTTTTTTGTATTGTAATCCATTACCACATTGTACAAAATCGACATTACATAAATTATAGACTACGACCAAAAAGAATTAAATCTACAACAACAATCTATGTATTACAAAAGACTAGCGAATTAATGTGAGTATCACAAACAACATACGTGATTAGATTTTTCTTACAATTGTATTTTGGTAATAGAAATGTTTATAACTAAAAACATGATGTTCACATATGTAAATAAGATTGTGTCACCAGTTATTAAAGTGTTCGTAAGATGACGGACGCTATCTCGTCTTCACAAACAAACAAACAGCAACAAACCTTCATTATAGTGACGCGATGATATCTGTTGTAACTATTTCTGCAAATGTCCGCAGTTACACTGCATCATGATTCATGACGAATATTATGGCCACAACACTACAACGCAACGACGTTGCGTTTCATGATTACTTGTGTCTGTAACTCTAAAACAGGTTTAACTGAAAATTATATATTATAATACTTACTTATAATTAAAATAGATATTTTTATTTAATTTTAAACATCCTTATTAATTTTTCCTATGAACCATAGAATCTTTACGACTTGATTTATAATTCTAAAGGATTTATTACTACTACTTCTATTACTACCTATAAGCATTAACTATAATACAAACAAAATGACTCTTCTAATGTCTTGAATAATTATTATTCGTACTAAAATTTCTTATCTGTTATTAACAACACAAATCCAATACCAAATAAAAATGATAATGCGATCTTATTTTAACTTGATCTTATTTTAACTTGATTTTATAACATATTTATGTATTTGTTTTGAATTGTTAATTTTATAAAACCATACCTACATTGTATATCTGCATAAAGGCAGTTAGGAGGAAAACGCTAAATAAAACTAGACTGTCTAAAACTCCAACACGACAAGTGAAAAACATAATGTGACATATGGTGCCACCGTAGCCTCGGTTCCAGCTATGGAAATGTTTCACTTGTAATTTTAATATAAAAAAAACTCTAAATTTTATTGAGAAAAAAAATAAATGTTTGCCTCGACGAATTTAAGAAGAAACTATAATTACAATTTTGATTTTATTTGATCAAAAAGTAGCGACTGTGTTGCTTCTAAATATTACTTTACACAATATAATATTATTTTATTTAACAATGCACAACAATTTTCAATTTTTTTATTATTTTATGCTTCGTAAGACTCTGAATTTTTGTTTAAGTAAACAACAAATTTACAATGTACAATTATTAAGTGTAAGTTCTATACGTAAAATAAAATTACGTAAATCTTACTTTATATATACTATGATGTCTATGTGGTATATACCTGCATAACTCCATCCTAATATGGCAAAGTTTTGAATATAATATGTCGACTAGTTTGTTAACATCTAAGTAAAAACCACACAGTCAAAACAATTCCTTGTTTCTTCAACACAGGACATACTTGAATTGAAATTATAAAATTCATAAAAAGATGAAATTAAAAAAGTTTGACATGTTAAAATAAACTGTGAAAACATGCGTTACTACAACACAACACAAGTTACTATAGCTAATTATTATAATATTTCCCGAAAGCAACGTTGGAAAAAAGGTGGATTTTTAACCTTAATCAAATCATTACTAAGAATTACATTTACACAAGAACCATAGTCAAATATTTGATAATAAAATAATATTTAATTTTTTATTTAATAAATATAATAAAGAATAAAATCCTTATACAACATAAAAAATGTATTTTCGAGAGACTATAGGTATTTATGTGACTTTTATTATCTTTTCATTCAAAATTGTTAAGTTTTGGCCAGAGATAACAAAATAAACATTCTTTAAAATCTCTCACTTCAACTATATTATCTTTTAAACAACAGCGGGGTTCAGTAGACACATTAAGATACGCTAAATTTATTTCATCAAATCTTTTACAAATAGTACAAGCCAAACAGACTTGATAACTGAAGAAATTATTGCAATATCAATTAAATTGTATCCATGCAAATGGATGGACACGATAAAATTGATTCAAATCAATGTTTAATCGACATTCCTAAATGTATGAAAGCTATAAATTTTCAATTAATTACATTTATCATAAAAGATTTTATAGATTCTTTAACACATCACTCAAAGTAAATCTTTACTTAGCCCTCGTAAACTCTTTATTGTCTGTTTTACATTAAGACTTTTTTATTCGTAGGTTTACTTACCTCACCATTCTTTTACTTTTTATACTTAAATCATAACTATTATTTTCTAGTTATTCATTCCCATTTCAAAAGTAAATTCATTAGTTAACATACACATGCATATATTCTTTCCTTCATATGGTCTGGGAGGATACATGCAACGGATTACATCTTTATCATGATATCTAAAACTTTCACGAGTGTACATTTAAATAAAACTATCGTTTGTTGTTCGAATTAATTTTGTTATTTGATTATTTTACATGAGACGCTCACCTGAATGTAATCAAGGTTAAGGCAAAGTAATCGAAACGTCGAGTGAAAGACAGGATCTTTTATATTTAAAAGATTAAACTTATTATTTATAATATAAAAATGTTGAGTTTACTAAGAAAACAACTAAATTATTATAAATTAAAAGTTTAAACAATAATGTGAATGTATATTATTTTATTATGAGTACCTACTTTTTGAAGCAGGTGACATACTTGTAAATATTTGTAGTATCGATATAACTTCTATATGTTTTTCTGCATATGTAGATTGTGCCATTTTATTCACCAAAATGTTGAAAAGCATGTTTACTGTCTCACTGTTATAATAAATATCTCAGAATTTAATCTGACAGTTTTACATTGCTTAAAACAGTTAAACCTAATAAAATCTTTCTTGTAATAAAATTGAAATCTAAAGAGACGAAATTTCTCAGTATTCCATGGATTCACCGTGCGGATGTCTGATCCATCGTGCTGCAGGGAGAAGAGCTTTAGCATTGCCTGGGATTTATGACCCAGATATATGTTAAAGGGTTATTTAATATAACAGGGCTACCGAACGCTCCTCTCTTTACCTAACTAAATTTAAAACGAACCTACTAGGACAGCTTTTGAAGTACGTTCTTAGAATGAATTGATGTTAGTTCTGAATAGGCCCAAGTCTTTTAGTAGGTTGTAGAGTGATTTACCTGTTTTACTTCTACCACTTCTACCGCTACAAATTTACGACAAACCTATTCTTAGGGAGTTCTTCAATGAGATTCTAATACTTATGTATTCACCTAACCTAGTAAGCTTTACTAACACAATGGCGTTAAAATTTGCGAATACAAAAAATATGTCTGGCCTCTAGACATCGGCGTCTACGCCGACGCACAAATATCCTAATGGATTTTATATTATTTTTATTACGTATCCATCATTATAGTCCAATCCGATGCCGCTTTAATCAAAATAATCACTTTAATCTTAATTGAAATAGTTTCTGGAAACTTTATTTACAATTCGTATTTTTCCCAAAGAATCAGACAAACACATAAAAGGATAAATAGGTACTACCAACAAAAAAATATGAGACTATTTAATTTGGTTAGGACGACTTTTTCTCTGTAAATTGTCATATGTGTAATTTTCGTTTTCTTTTACTGGTGATAAACAAAAATGACTGTATAGAAGATTTATAATTTTTATAATACTTTTGTCCGCGTGGACTGCGTAATTCGGCTCAGAATGAAATAAAAGATATACTTTTATAAAATTATTGTTTTTAAGCTAGATTTTACTGTGGTTTTACGTATTTGTGTTTGATGTCAAATGTTAGTTATTGGCTCTAGGGCCCTGTCTATGGTGGTCTAATGACTCTTCTACGCTTGCGTACGTATACTTGGATCTGGTCCTGGTTGGACGGCAAGCTACCCTTGCTCGCCATCCTCCCAAGTAGGGCACACCGCCACCGTATGCTCGATCGTGTCCTCCTGTTGGTCGTCGCAAAGATGACACAAGCACCTTCAGGCTGAAGGTGAGGACGCCGTTTTGTCTTTCCAGCCAGTCATGAAAGAGGGGTCTTTTTATGCTAAAGGGGGCAACTGAGCTGACGACCTACCTAATGGAAGTAGTACCGTCGCCCATGAACATCCGCAACATAGATTGGCGAATGTATTGCCACCCTTGATTTTGAAAGAGGGAGAGGGAAAAGGTGAAGAATAGAAGAAAAAGGAAAGGACAGGAAAGGAAAGGGTGAGAAGAAGGAAAGGGCAAAGGGTCTTACCGATTGGCCGATTCATTCAATAACCTAGAGATGCTAATCCTAATAGCGGTACAAAAGAATCGATTTAAAAGTAATAAAAGCACAAATTTAAGTTTTTTAAGAATCAAAATATTAAAAGAAGACACATTATTATTTTTATTTTTTAGTTTATATGAAAATCAAGTAGATAAACTTGTTATGCTGACCCTACAATACATACATATGAACGCCTACAATAAACAATATATTTTGTATAACTAAGATTCTTATCTGTTATCACACTCGTTTTCCATTGGGAAAACCGAGCTGTTGATATGTAATTGTATACTATAATCTTCAAAATAAATAATGTAAAGTATAAGAACCAGTCTGAAAACCAAAACACATCAGTAATTACCAAGAATCTACAAAGATGGTTTCTAAAATCATTATTGCAATTTGCTTCGTAAGTGTTTTTGTTTAATATTATTTTTCCCTTTTTTTTACTCAATAACTCAATTTGTATTCATTATCTATGAACCACAATGAAAAACTAAAAATTAAAAGTTGCAACTTTATAACTTGTACCTACTTTATAAGTAAAAAATATTTATTTTATAGGTGACCGTAGTAGCAGCCATTCCAGCCCAGCCTGCATTCACTGGCTGGGGTGCAGGTGGTGGAGCTGGTGTCCTCTTACCCCCATGGATATCAGCAGCTCCTTGGTTTCCTCAATGGACCCCTTGCACCACCGTTGGCAGCTCCTGTTCTGATTGTTCAACTAAAATAGTTTGTACCAAGATCGGTGGACTACAAAGAGCTTGCACAGATCCTACAAAGCCGTATTGTAATCTCGGTGAATGCTCAGCAACCCCATCTGAACAATGCGCAGTACCAGTTGTACCAGCAAATGCTGTGTAAAATTATACGCAACTAAAATGAAATGGACTCTTAACAAAGGAATATGATTATAACATCGTGAAATACACTTTAACAATACTTATTTGCTTTTAAAAATGTTTAATATTTAAAAATGTTTATCTTTGGACAACGTTTTGTATTTATTGTATAAAATTATTGAAATTTAACTAGTAATTGGAGTTTTGTAATTAAATTTAATATAAATTTACTCATTCGATCCGTTGCTAACTTTGTTGTCGGGTATTCTTAATCCTTATTTTATCATAGCAATATTTCATTCCGCAACATTGGTTTACATATGTTGTCAGGCTTTTGAAGATATAATATACATTATGCATTTATTTCAACTTGTTTCATTTATTTGCTGTTAAAATATATCGTAAAGTGACGAAAAGTAAAGTATTAAAAGTCCCTAAATATTTTGCAAATCTTGTTGATTTAGTACTAAAAAGAAAATCATAAATGTTTTCTAAAAACTTAAAATATTTATTTTCCTTTAAAATTATTATTCCTTCAAGAGTTTTAGTATAAAATTAAAAAAAAATAAGGCTTTACTTGATGTAAGCATTACTATACTCGTGTAGAGTATGAGTCCAGATACGAAACTAATATGTATATACTCGTATAATGTGTTAAAAAAAAAAACTTTGTATTAAATAAACTTTATTTGGTTTTAAGGAAAATATTGTACGCCTTATCCGAATTAATAATGACATTAAGAGTGACAGTTGATAGTAATCTGATTTATATATTTATTAAATATAAAACATTCGACGCTATTACATAAATTGAAATACATAGTTCAAATAAAAAAAACATAGAATGTTAATTCGGAGTTTAGATTTATGGGGATATGTACAAATATATGGACGTGAATACAAATACTTTAATAGTAAAAAGTTAATAAGAAAATAAAGTACTTTTTTATGTCAGGTGTTCCACGTTCAGTTTGGACAGTGGAGGTGAGGGTATAACGCGCATTAGTTAAGGGGCCCCTTAAACCTACACTTGGGTCGCAAGTACCAGGCACTGTTGAAGCTCCTCTCCCTGCAACGCGATGGACCTGGCACCCGCACGGTGAAGCCATGGAATGCTGAGAAGTTTCGTCTCTCTGATAAATCCACCTGTCCACGCTGGGAATCCAAACTGGTGCGATAGACGATCCAGTAGATATAGGCGTTGAACAACTTACTGTTGAACCTGATACACCTAGGATAATGAAGAAAACATCGATCAAGATTCAGGAACGATTAAACTACACCAAAACATCGAAGTTCAAACAAAATTCATAGCAAAATTATTTATGTATTTATTCATTTATTGGGAAATATGCGTATGTTACAATAAATTATTATTTTTTCACGAATTCAACATACCTACAATTATGTCTGATTTTCTTCTTTCTCATATTCCTGTCAGGTATACACAGAATAAATACATATTCAAATGTATTCCTATGCCCCTTATATATATTCCTCAAACAGAAGTGATCCTTTTTATGTTATTTATAGGATGTCCGCCCTTTTCATGTTTAAGCCTATCTCAAATTTACATTATTCTTTTTTACCATTTATACAACATATGCTTGTACACGTATCAACTATAAGCTTGTTAAAGCATTAAAATAAACGTATTTTTGGAATTAATGATCCAGTAATAAACGAAATAAGAACGTTAACAAAAACAAAATAGAAATAATAGTAGCATTCAATCTACTTGTTTTGCTCTCTTCGTAGAAGTACCTTGAATTATTTCCACTATTCTTTCAGTGATTATTTTTCAAAAATGCAAGGCCATCTAAAAACATACATGAAATTATGATTATTTAATTTTTCCTTCAATTTGTTCTATACAAATAGGTACTGTGCGGTATCATTAAACCACAGTAAAAGAGGTTGTTTTGTTTTTTCGTCACCATAATTTAAATGAAAATGCTGAAGGTTGTTCGTTTCATCGCATTAAATTTGAGCTACTTTTTAACTTAATTATGCATAATCAATAGTAGACCAGATATCAAACGTTAGATTTTAAATCCAACTCGCGTGTGAAGTATAGAATACCTTAATAAATACATTCTATTGAAAGTTAGATGATAGATGAATTTAAAAAAATTATTATGTAAATTAGTCACCAAAACAAACAAATGCTTGGCGCTACTTGCATGTTCATATAAGTGAAAACATGAACTTTGTCTTGCGCCTCCCAATTTACCCTTAGTAATACGATGTCATATTACTGAGGGTACTAACACTTGTCTTACATTGTACAAATAAAGAGAGGCATTTGTACAAGACTTAAAGATCATATTTCGGATATGAAAGCAGGCGTACGTCGAGGGCAGCAGTGTGATACAGTGTGAAGACACAATGGATCAACAACGCCACTACATTCTGTTTGACAAACCACAGATTTTCGCTCATTTAGGACATTTTTGGCGGTAGACTGTGTAACTAACTGATAAACAGACATTTCATGTCGTTTCTATTTTTTATCAAAGGTGGCAAACGAGCAGACTCTTTTGATGAAGGGTAGTCCCCATCTCGAATGGAAAACTGTAATATAAGAGATGTTGCGGATGCGTTGCCGACCTTGATTGTGGAAGAGGGAGAAAAAAAAATTGGAAAAAGGGAAAGGACAACCAGCTCTCTTACTAACCGGACAAAACGCAACCATTGGTTTTACTTCCCCGGTCCAACCAGCCATTGTTCGAGCAGTAGTAATTTTACCAAAACTAGGCTGTGCCACCTCTGCATCGTCTGTCTGTCATTACGGTTGTTGTAAAAGAACAAAAAATCTCCGGATCTTGTAGATATAAAATTATTTAAAAAAAATTGTTTAATTAGATGCCATACTGTAATACGACATGCTATAGAAGACAAAAATTATTGAAAAATAAGAAAAAAATATTCAGATAGAAGTGTCTGAGTAAGCGATAGAACGTAATACATTTAATTTTAATGCCTTTGTTCTTAAAATTCGCTACTTAAACCCTTTAGATAGACCAAAATACAAGTTAATAAAGAAGAACTGATAGAGACAAAAATCATTCTAAAATTGTGATAACATCACCAGATTTTGGTTTAGAAATAATTAGGAAATCGTCTCAAGTCTAGAACTGTTACATGAATTTAAATGCGTTGAACTACATACTTATAAATAAATTTTTGTGTCCACCTTTTTTTTACTGAAATTTTTATCTGCATAACAATTTCAAGTGTATGGCATCTATCAATTCAGGATAACCGACAAAACCCTGTACGAAGCATAAGAAAATGGATTAGGTATATTTTCAAAAGTAAATTTAATTAATATAAAAGACACGAAACCTATCCCTCATTCACTAATAAATATCCTGCCTAAAAAAAACCTCTTACTAGAACGAAAATATATCAAGAGAGAACCAAAACAAATCTAATATTAAACGTAAATATTATTATCTTTTTCCCAACATATTGACACTACGAAGGAAAATTCAACTCGATTATTTATTTGTACAAAACTTTAGGTATATCATCGTTCATCTTATGGCAATATTTATTTTGCTTTTTATTGTATGAGCCTTACCACAGAAATTTTAATGAATTATCATTTTACCTAAGAAACAGGTAGTAACAAACAGAAAACTTTAAGAAAATATTTAATGGTATGTTCTCAAATGTTCTGTATTATTTTAGGCAAAAAAGTGTAATTTTTGTACTTATATTACATATCGGCCAAGTTAGTAAAAAGTAAGGTATATGAAAAGAATATAAATGGCCTTTATACACAAAGATATAATATATCACTGTAATTTTTTGCGACAATTTTAATGGGAGTGCTGAAAATATATCAAAAATTTATGAATTTAACTTGTTAAAAAAAATTCACGACAACAAAAGAAAACTTCAGGCCTCTATTTATAAAATTGATTAAAAACGAACATTTAAATTGTCCAGTTAAGTAATAATAAATTTAGAGAACAATGTGTCTTGTGCGAATATTGTAAAGTATTTTTAACTTTAATAAATTATAAAAGGAAGTTAAAATTAAAGAAGTTAGAAAAAAACTTTTAATCATGACGCTTAAAAATAAAAATGTTCGTAAAAGTCTTAAAATGCTGAAAAGGTTATAATGTTATTTAAAGGCCTTAGTTTTACAAACACCTTTAATTACCTTGAATACTTAGGATTAAGGCTAAAGCTATCGACTTAAAGGTTTTTATCATACTGTCTCTTCTCTGCTATTCATTGTTATTATATGTTATTTAAAAAAATATATAAGGCTGCTATGAATTATTTTTATTGTGTAAATCTGTATATGAAGTGAAATAACAAAAGTTGTGTATCATAACTCAAACCCTATTGAAAACAACAAACTTTCCGTTATTGACTACACATAGCAGGGAAAACCTATGCAGCGTCAATAATTTCCTTGTTTGTATTTTCTATTCGCTATATAGTTTGCTCAGATAACAGGCACAATATAATGTATAAAAGGAGAATATTCATGCACTTACAGTATACAGTACTAAGAATGGCTCCTTTCAAAGGCATTGTGATTCTACTGACGATGGTGAGATACCTGTATTAGTATATAACTTTTAAATGAGTATTAAAGATTCGTGTAATAATGTCCTCAACATTTAAATAATATCGAGCTAATAATTCAATTTAAAATAGGATATATGTGAAATGAAAAATTCATCGGCGCTAATTGATAGATGGCACCTTCATCCTGATATAACGGTCAAATAGGTGTATATAGAATTCTTAATTCACTGATTCTAACAGCCCACAATAGCTTAAAGAAACCTAAATGAAATTATTTCGATGTTCTTCTAAAAGTTGCAATTTCAGGTTCTGCTCTCATCTATGATTTTTTCTTTCCACATTTTCTATTTTTAATTTTAGTTTGATCATTGGGAAAAAACAATACCAATAACATAGTCGCGATCATTTTTAGATGTATAATAATACTTAAAACTGAAGTTATGAGCTTAAAAATCTTGTGTAATTCTATTT